TTCTTCGTCGTTGTTTTTCAAGTATGTTTTCAGAAAACATTAATATTCTAGATTATTCTAGATTTTATTCTAGATAAATGCTTCCTTTGATTTCACAACTTGTGGTACAATAAAAACTTGTTTGTTGAGTCCAGATGGATGTGAATCGAATCAATCAAAGTGTGTACAAGGGCTTTCGTTTAAGAGATCGGTGAGTGGATCGAGAAAAAGGCTGTAGCTGAAGGATTGTCTATTGATATTGTCTAATAAGTAAAGGCTAATAAATATTCAGTTTATAAGACTACCGTAATCCATAAAGGCTAATAGCAAATAGGCTTGAGATAAGAAATACTGGTAAAGATCAGATCTGGTAAAGAACAAACCCATCGAGTAGCTGAGAAATGCTTTAAAGCACTATTCGGAACATATTTGCCCGTTACTGTAAAGTCTTACTCTTATACTTTAATCTATCTTTAATCTATCCTCTATCTTTAGCTTGTGCTTAATTCTTGTGTTTAAACATTAAACGAAATTCCCCATTTCCATTTCCAGTCAGCCTCTTTCCTTGAAGTTGAACTTTTCGCGAACAATCTCCCCTCAAATGCCGCCTACAATTCCTATCTAGCCATCGGATTTCAAGCAGCCGAATGTGAGCAAATCGAAAGTCACAGCAGCCTACCGTGCATGGTTGGTGATTGTTGAAAAGCGAAAAACATTTTCAGCTACTGTTACCCAAATTTAGATCCAGCATATCTTTCCGGTCAAACTAATAGATCCAAGTCATATTGGGCTATTTTTAGCCATACTAGAACTTCTATAGCTATGAATTGAGAACTCTAATGATTTTATAAGTCCCAATTCATCATTTCAGTCCAACACTCCAGTGATGGAGTGCTTGAACGAAATGATTCTAAACCAAAAACCATGTCACCAAACAAAATAAAAGGGATAGAGAAATGGGGAAATACACGCGCAAAAGACACGGCGAAACGCAGGACCCGGCATTCTTTAAAGAATTCTAAAGAAAAGAAAAGAAAAGAAAAATAAAGACATGATTCTTTAAAAGAATGAATTTTGGAGCGATGGCAGACGGAAAGGGAGACGCCGTCTCGAGTACGGTAGCTTAGGTGTATTTTAGAATTTACTTTTGGAAAGTTGCCAACCCGGACTCACACTGTCTCTCAATTGTCTCTCAATATATCAATAAGTTCTTATCGATGAGTCTAATGCATGGCTAGTATATTGAATGAAATGATTCTAAACCAAAAACCATTTCACCATTTAGGCTTCAACGCCAGTGATGGAGTGCTCGGCTTTGAACGGAAAATTGATGTCACCAGCTTTGTCGTGGAACAACGATCACCCGAAGAACGTTCGAATCGATAATGCTGCGGTGAGGAATAGCATAAAAGATCATTAAATTGAAAAAGAAATGTCTAAAATATTCGACCTTTTTCCGAGATCTTGGGTTGATGCTTTAAAGTATGGGAAAACTACCGTACCCCTCCGAATTTGTCAGTAGAAAAAAAAGCGCGCAATTTGGGGGTGGGACAAATGCGACCTATTTTTTGCGCACCTGGACATTTGCGCACCTTTTTTTGCTGGAAAAGGCCTTAGGAAAGGTCGTAGAGCTTCAAAAATGTTTTCATAGAAGGGAATCGTATGCGTAGATTCCGAATTTCGACAAATCAGACCTCGTTGACACGTCAAATTTGGGCTAAAAGGCAAAAGCTGCGGAAAAGCGTTAAGTTGCGTAGTTTTTGCCTTTTAGCCCAAATTTGACGTGTCAGCGAGGTCTGATTTGTCGAAATTTGGAATCTACGCATACGATTCCCTTCTATGAAAACATTTTTGAAGCTCTACGACCTTTCCTAAGGCCTTTTCCAGCAAAAAAAGGTGCGCAAATGTCCAGGTGCGCAAAAAATAGGTCGCATTTGTCCCACTCCCCGCAATTTCATTCTTATTCTTCATTTCATTTCATTCCTTTTGCGTATCTGATGTCATTTTCTTTGTACTCTTTACTTTTACCTGAAAATCCAAAGAATACAAAGAAAATTACATCAGAAATACGCAAAAAGAATGAAAGAATGAAAATGCGCTTTCTTTTACACCCGCAAATGAGGGGTACGGTAGTTTTACCACGCTTTAAAACGTGACCCAGGTGAATCCAGGATTTTCTCGAAAAAAGACAAACATTTTTAGACAAATTTGAGTCAACTTTAAAGTAAATTCGTTAAAATCCTGATTCCAGGATCTAGCCAAAGCCGTCTCGTTGAGTATGAGCGCTTTGGATAATTCAAATGGGCAGACATATTGCAAGTTGTTGCAACGGATCACTGGAGCTCCGTTGGATGGAATGAAAAACGTCGATAAAGTCAGTAAAAGTTGAAAGATTCAAATTTACCGAAAATTCTCAGGTTTTCCAATACGATCCATCTAAACAATATGGCTTGATCATGGCGGTTGGGTCGACAAAGGACTCTGGTAGGGAAATTTGGGGATGATGTCCATGAGGATGGCATTGTATGCGTTCGAAAAAGCATTCATTTTAGAAAACTATCGTTATCAGCTGTAGTTTAATACTGTAACTAACACTCAATGAATTTAATTTTTCTATCATCGCCTTGTGGCGGAAAGGCTTTTCTTTCGCCATCCCAAAAGTCAGCTCGTAGCCGTGGTTAGCGTGCCTGCCCTCGGAACTCTTCGATCTTGGTTCGGATCTAGCGGTCTGAACTAGCGGACATATCAGCCTCGTTGATTCCGCATCGAATGACACCAAAATTGAGTAAAATCAAATGAAAACTGACAATTTGACTACGGCAGTTCTCCAGTGCACTTTAGAAAACGCATTAAGCAAAAAGAATTCACCGATTGCTAAACTATACAATATTTTTCAATTCAACCATCTTCCAGAGCTCACTCATCACCCAAAAGGCGCCACACTTGTCTCCAAAAAGCGTTACTCCTTCTCGTAACTGAAATTTCGACAAAATTTGACAAATTTTGACAAAATTTCAGACAATTTTCAAATAAAGATCTCTTTTTCTGAAAAATTGCCTCGATCATTGAAACTAACATCACTGTTTGACAATTTTGGTGTTTGAGGACACTTTCTCTGTTTACTTGTTCACAGAAGCGTTCACAGAAGCGAAATTCTGAGTCAAAAAAGTAGAAGGTGACTTTTGATGAGGTTCAGGTTGCATTTCGGATGTAACAATACAAACTTATGCTTAATTTTTATAACTCTGATGGATTAAAGCCTTTTTACATCCAAAATTTGATTAAATTAGCTAACATTTAAGCAAAATAACTCTTGAAATTCATCTTTCACTTATATTTATTATTATTATTATTCGCCCTCCTGAATAAAGCATATATAATAATAATTTAAGTACTGGCGCAAATTTGGCGACACTTTCAGTTTTATTTTGTATTCAATCAGTTCTTTGAGATCAATGAACCAAATAAAATTTCGATTAGTTTTGTTACATTTACATTTTTGCAAAAGCTACTTGAAGTGTAGCATGCTTAGGAATAGTTTGAATAGTTTTTCTTCTTGTTTAAAAGAGTTTTCAAAGAGTTCAAAGAGTTCAAAGAATTGTTCAACGCAAAACCTCTCTCAGTTCCCATTTCCCATAACGGATTGCCTTGATATTCAGCATGTAACTTTGTAGGAACTTTCTCAAACTTATTTTACATATCTAACAATTATCAATTGCAAACTGATCACTCAGATTACTCATAAGTAAAATACCGCTCGCTAGCTGGTACCAATCAGCTCAGTCCGGCCCTAGTCGGCTCTTGAAATTCCCACGCTTGACTGGTACTACTTCTAAATCTAAATCTATCTAAATCAAATGGGCTCATATCTTAACATTGTTGGTTTGCACAGATTTGTTTCCTTGAATGATGACCGACTGGCTAAGAGCTCCGTGAGATTTCAGCACCAAAATGAAATGCAAACACGTATCGAATACGGTGAGTACGATTTCAAAAAAAGCAAAAAGTTTGGCTGCTAGTGGATCCGAACGAAGATCAAAAGGTTCCGAGCCCAGGCACACTAACCACTAGTCTACGAGCTGTCTTTTGAGATGGCGTAAAAAAGGCCTTTCTGCCGGCGAAAATCAGTGTGCCAGAAATTCGAGAAAAGCCTTCATTTTTTCGAAATTCAAATGGCTGTAACTTTGTGCGTTTTGCCGATTAGCGGTTTTTGAAAACAGTTTCCGAACGTACATTTTCAGGCCTTTCTTTTTGCACCTACCTCATATTGTAACTCGCGGGTAACTTGGGAAGGTTCCCTGGTAGGAGCTCTGTATCCCATAAGGGAATGTTAGAAGTGACCGTGAGATTTCAGCACCAAAATCAAATGCAAACACCCATCGAATACGGTGAGTACGATAGTGCTTTCGGATTTCGTGTTGGGTTGATAGTTTTTGAGAAAAACGGGTTTGAAATTTCTACTCGAAAACGAGGTATAAAACGATTTCTTTCGGGCGAACGAGTCCTCGTGGTCAGCGGGTAGAGTCATCGCCTCCCGTTTTTGCCACCCTGGTTCGGTCCCGATCAGCGCCATTTTTTTTTTTGCTTTTTACCAAACTTTATATTTTATATATTTCAAAGGTTATAGAACTTTTAAACTTTTGTTTTTATTCTATTTTATAAAATAACGCTCGCTAGCTGGTACCAATCAGCTCAGTCCGGCCCTAGTCGGCTCTTTTTAAATCCGAGAGAAGTCCTTTTATAGAAGTGTGCCTCGTTTTCGAGTAAACGTCGAAATTTCAAAGCCGTTTTTCCCAAAAATTAGCCATTCTTAGCAAAAGCCGAAAGCATTATTGTACTCGCCGTATTCGATAGGTGTTTGCATCTCATTTTGGTGCCAAAATCTCGCAGTCACTTCTGATCATTCCCTCGTTAATCGGGAGGTCAAGGGTTCAATCCCACCGGCTAGATTGTTGGTTATATTGGTTCTTTTTTCCATATAAGTCGAACCTAATAGCAAACAAATCTCATTAATCAGCTTAAGTGGAATCCGCTGGAGTGGAGTCAGTGGCATCAGCTGGAGTGGAGTCAGTGGCATCAGCTGGAGTGGAGTCAGTGGCATCAGCTGGAGTGGAGTCAGTGGCATCAGCTGGAGTGGAGTCAGTGGCATCAGCTGGAGTGGAGTCAGTGGCATCAGCTGGAGTGGAGTCAGTGGCATCAGCTGGAGTGGAGTCAGTGGCATCAGCTGGAGTGGAGTCAGTGGCATCAGCTGGAGTGGAGTCAGTGGCATCAGCTGGAGTGGAGTCAGTGGCATCAGCTGGAGTGGAGTCAGTGGCATCAGCTGGAGTGGAGTCAGTGGCATCAGCTGGAGTGGAGTCAGTGGCATCAGCTGGAGTGGAGTCAGTGGCATCAGCTGGAGTGGAGTCAGTGGCATCAGCTGGAGTGGAGTCAGTGGCATCAGCTGGAGTGGAATCAGTGGAATCAGCTTGAGCTAAATGGAGGAGTTGATTGAGATTCATGTCTTGTCGATTTTCTTGATATCGATAAAGATCTTATCGATCTAGAACTAGAACTAGAATCCGAACGACAAGCGAAATTTCGTAATTGTTTGATCGACCTATGGAAGTTGATAAGGATTTAACTGATGAAGAAGATAATCATTTTGAGCCGGAAGTGACACGAAAAGAAGCCCGAAAAGAAGCTTATAAGGTCTTTGCCACTTTCAACGCTTTTTACTCAATGTTGTTAATGATTCAACGGTGATTAATGCGTGCCACAACATCGAGGAATTTTTCCAGGAGTAATCAATGAAAGAAGCGAAAAAACTAAGATTTCTCAATTTTTTAGCTAGTTTGCTGTCGATTTTCTAATGCTTTACATGTTGTTTTTTGAATAAAATTAATCTTATTTATGTAAATGAAAACATTGGTAGTACCAAAGAGCACATTTTTCTACATTTTTACTGTTTTTTGAGCATTTCCTAAGCATTATTAGGCATTCTTTTATCGAGCTTTTACTGTAAATGGGGCTTTTTTTTTCTTCCCTACATTTAGGGCTTAGGATTTGTGCTTGTTTATCGTTTCTATCACATTATTCGTGTGAATAAATGTATTTTTAAGATGTTACTTGATTTTAAACCATCAACCGTTCACTTGTGAGTGAGTGAAACTTTTCTTTCTCCTCATGCTTCTCTGTTGCTCTGCATTTCGTTTTTTTTCTTTGCGTTTAAATTATAATTTCTATTCTATTGATTTCTTCGTCTTTGAACTTTCAAAAAGCGAGCGCATAGATCGTTTCGTTGTCACTCATTTCTTTGGGAAAATAGCCATTCTTTCTCCCCTTCTTCCCCTTCTTTCTTCCCCTTCTTTCTCCTCTCCGAATTCCTTTGTTTATCTCACTGTTGCCCATTCAAATAAAAGGGAAAATATAGGAAAATTTTGTGATAAGCCTAAAAATTTCAATTTTTTAGGGAATCCTCGATTAAACCAAATAGATTTTGATTGAAAATGTTGAAATTGGTGGCTTGCTTCGTGTTGCTTGGACAGGTGAGTGGTGTTTGTTAAAGGAAATCACTTTCTTTCACACTTTCACTTTCTGAAGTTTCAATTGAGCTAAGAACTTGGCTTACTATACCATTATAATACTATACAGTTAAATTGCTCAAAAATTGAGACTTAGGCAGTTTCTAAAAGGTGCGCTTGGGGAAACTGTAAGCACTCTAGCTGTAAGAGTGACAGTGCAAGTGAACTTCTCTGGCTAAAAGTTAAAAGCATAGTGCTGTAGTTTTAAAAAACCTAAGCCAAATGACTCGTTGAGATCAATAAATCCGCAGGTTTCGTCTCTTTTCGACCCCACGACGTGCGGTCAAGGAAAAACGTGTGTGGCGATTCCCGATGGATGCATCACCACATCTCCATCAACCTGTCAACAAGGAATCTCATTCAAAAGATCGGTAAGTGAAGAAATTGAATTTGTTTAACAAAATGTCAAAGCTTTAGTCAGCCTCTTTCTTGGAAGTTGAGCTCTTCTCGAACAACCTTGGAGCCAATTCAGCCTACACATCGTACATGGCAATCGGATTCCAACCAGCTGCCTGTGCTGAAGTTGAGACAGCAAGCGCAATGCCGTGCATGGTGGGTAGTTGATAGTAACGCATTATCGTTCAAAAAATCCAAATTCTGAGTCGAGATCTTCCAAAACTGCTAAATCTTTTAACCAAGAAACTAATTGCAAATGATTTACCAAGAGGAAATCGAGACGATTCGCGGGTTGAATTGGCTGGCGTTTATAGAGGAAAGATGTCTAGCTTTTTAATAACTTTATCGGTGACATGAAAGAAATCGAAGAGAAACAAAGTTGAAAGACTGGGAAAACAGAAACTCTAAAAGTTTAACAATTTTAAAAGAAACAGGGAAGAAAGGATGGAAATAACAAAAGAGGAGGGAAATTTTAACAATAAACAAAATTAAAACAACAAAAAACAACATTAACAACAAACAAAACAAAGCAAAATAAAAGGAATAGAGAAATGGGAACATACACGGTTTTTTTGAGGGAAAACAAGAATTCCTGTTCGAATTTGCCTAAAAAAATCGGCTAAATGAAATAGTGAATCTTTTTTATTTAAAAAAAACCATACTTTCATCAACTAATTCATTTATAAACGAAAATTTGAAAGCCGACAAAACTTTCCGGTCAAACTAATAGACCCAAGTCATATTGAACTAGTTTTAGCCATACTGGAACTTCTATAGCTATGAATTGAGAACTTTAATGATTTTATAAGTCCCGATTCATCATTTCAGTCCAACACTCCAGTGATGGAGTGCTTGAACGAAATGATTCTAAACCAAAAACCATGTCACCAAACAAAATAAAAGGGATAGAGAAATGGGGAAATACACGCGCAAAAGACACGGCGAAACGCAGGACCCGGCATTCTTTAAAGAATTCTAAAGAAAAGAAAAGAAAAGAAAAATAAAGACATGATTCTTTAAACGAATGAATTTTGAAGCGATGGGAGACGGAAAGGGAGATGTCGTCTCGAGTACGGTAGCTTAGGTGTATTTTAGAATTTACGGTTGGAAAGTTGCCAACCCGGACTCTCACTGTCTCTCAATTGTCTCTCAATATATCAATAAGTTCTTATCGATGAGTCTAATGCATGGCTAGTATATTGAATGAAATGATTCTAAACCAAAAACCATGTCACCATTTAGGCTTCAACGCCAGTGATGGAGTGCTCTGCTTTGAATGGAAGACTGATGTCCCCAGCTGTCTCGTGGAACACCGCCGACCCACAGAATGTCCGAATCGACAATGCTGCGGTGAGGCTTAGTGAACTTGATTGATTGATTTCGAACATAAAAATTCGACCCTTAGCCAAGTTTCATGTTTCTGATGATAAAACGAAAGCTTTATCTTTCCAGGATCTCGCCACAGCGGTCGCTTTGAGCATGAGCGCTTTGGAGAACGCAAACGGACAGACGTATTGCAAATTGACACAACGAATCACCGGAGCACCGCTTAATGGACTTCCCAATGCAAATCAGGTGGGTAAAAAGATATTGCAAAGCCCCAATACTGGTTCCTGAATGAAAGGCATTTAGCTAAGCTGAAGATCTTTCATTGCAATTAAAGAATGAAGAATTGAGAGTTTTAAGTCTTTTAGATTTTCATCTGGTGAAGAACTGGGTCGTATATAAGTATAAATAGTAAACATAGTTCAAATAGTTTTAAAATTTCGGTGTTAAAACATCAAAACGCAAAGTTTTGCCAAAAAGGGATCGAGCTTGAGCAAAAACTGTGGGTGATCGTTTTGTATGCGAGCCCCTTATCCACTACACTATCAAGTTAAATTTGATCGCCGTGAGAAATTCCTTATAAAGGCATCCGTGAGAAATCTCTTATAAAGGCATTTATCCAAATTTTCGGATTTTCACCCTAAAACTTGAAAGCCGTATAATTGTCTAGAAATCTATTTTGCAAAAACAGAAAGCAGATTCGAAATCAGCGTGAAATTCTGCGTCGAATGGCTGATCTCATTTGGCCACATCCTACTGTAATCTCTTGCAAATTGACCTTTTCAGGTGTTCCAATACGATCCCACACAGAAATACGCGATTCTCATGGCCGCCGGGGTCACCAATGGATCCGGTCAGTTACTTAGCTTAAAGATTTGCGTTTATATTTAAAACTCAAAGAGTTTTCATCAATTTACATTCGTTTTTCGATATTGCTCGATTTTAGACTTATTTAATTGATTAAAAGTCTCCGTTTCAGTTCTCACTCATCACCCCCACCCGAACACAATGGTTTCCAAGATGCGATACCAATTCTAAAGCTTTAATTCACTTATTTAATTGATTAATTCACTTATTTCATTTATTATGATGACTTAAATAAATGTATTTTATCAAAAACAAAAAACACAAAATTTACAAGTAAAACTAATCAAACAAATCAAAGAATACTGTTCGGAACTTCTTCCGATAAAGTTTATTTCTCTTTGAAATCTATCGATCAATGTTCCCTCTGAATCATGCTTTTTTCTTCCCACGATTTCCCCAGCCATAAGCTAGCCAAAACATAGACATTTCTAAAACATTTCCCCCTCAACTTTTCGGTATTTAAACCCTTCGGTGCTTTAATAAACATTCTGCCTGAACTAAGGGATAGAGAAACATTCTATCCCGAACAAATACATAGATTTATGTAATTTTTGAACTTTTTCAAGTTCAGCGTATTGCAAATTACCTTTTGATAGGATAAAGTGCTAAAGTTTATAGTAACTAACTATAGCAACATACAGTAACTAACTGTACGTTGTACTGTATCGTAATTGTACCCAATTATATCACAGTGTTGAGTACAGTGAATCAACCTTTTGCTCATTCAACTTCTTTTAATCCAGATCAAGTTTTAGTTTGAAGATCAAATTAAATCAGTTTTTGAATTTTTATAGACTATGGACAGGTAATAGATTTTATTTTATTTTATAGACAGACTAGCTAATAAGACAATTTCTCACTGTTTCTCCTAGAATCAATATCTAAAATCGAAATTTTCTTTTTTTAAACCTTTCACCATTCTCACGCAAAGTCTAACAATTGAACTTTCACTTTCTGAAAAAAAAAACCTTTATCAAGAAATGATGAGAAGTGGACAGAAGGGGGGAAAGAAATGAAAGAAGAGGTGGAGAAAGTGAGGGGATATTAAAAGACTTCTGGAGATAAGGCACAGATCATTTTGTTTGGATTTCCCCACTGAATCGTCTCTATTGAAGACTTGCAATGATGAGATCCCTCGTTTTCGCCCTCCTCTTGTCTCAGGTATAAAAATGGATTTGTTTTAAGCTAAGAATAATGCTAGTTTTTAGCAGAATAATGCTAGTTTTTAGCTTAACTTTCAAGTTTGAGTACTTGTAGTTTGAGTACTTGTAGTTTGAGTACTTGTAGTTTGAGTACTGATAACTTGACCAAAATATCTCATCCTCTAAATCGTTTTACTTTATAGAAAATAAGTAGAAAGTATGGTAATAAAGGGAGTTAACTGTACCGATAGCTTCAGCTTTATTAAACCCATTCCTAGGTGTACGCTTTGTTCGATTTCTCGACATGTGGCTCGTCAAAGACTTGCCTTTTACAACCACCAACTTGTAGCTCAAATCCATCCACCTGCAAACAAGGAATGTCGTTCAAGAGAACGGTTGGTTCGATAAAATGGCAGAGTTTATCTAAGCTATCCGAATTAAAGAAACAAATGTCCATAAGTAAATCGAGTATCAGTATTGAGTCTTTTTTTTCCAGTCAGCCTCATTCTTGGAGATCGAGATGTTCGCCACGAATCTCCCAGCCACCGCCACTTATGACTCGTGGATGGCCGTCGCCTTCCAAGCGAATCCATGTGATAGCTACGAGGCAAACGGTATCCCATGCATGGTAAGTGTGAAAGTATAACCTTAATTCTTAAAAATACATTGATTCACACGAAAAATGTGGTACAAACAATACAATCTCTAAGTTTAAATAAGGAAAAAGACTGAAAAAAGGATTGATAATCCCGCCGGGATTGAACCATCGATCTCCGGACTAAGAAACAAGGGGCTTAGCCACTCAGCTATGAGGGTCATCGAGAAATCTAGAAGAAAACCGATTAACTTTAGTCCAACTCGCCAGTGACTGAGTGCTCGGCTTTGAACGCAAAATTGATGACTCCAGCTCTCTCGTGGAACAATGATGAGCCACGAAATGTTCGAATCGATAACGCTGCTGTGAGTTTTGGAAATGGTTTTAATGGAAATTGATCTGTTAAATTGTCTATAGGAAATCTTGTAGCATCAGAAAAGACTCAGAAAAAGCTCAAAAAATGACACATGAAAGTCTAAACTCGAACTACTTTGTTCTCAACTCGAACTACTTTGTTTTCTACTTTGTTCTCATAATTTGATTATAAGATTTTTCATATTATAAGTAAAATATAATCTCTAAATGTAATTTTATCCTTTTTCAGGACTTGGCCAAGGCTGTCACCCTTCAAATGTCGGCTTTGGAGAACAGCCAAGGACAGGTTTATTGTAAGACTCTTCAACGCGTCCAGGGAGCTCCATTTAACGGAATGCCAAACACTGACAAGGTGATTAAATAGAAAATTTATCTAGATATAAATAGCATTCAAATCTACAGCATTCAATCCATCTTTTCCCCTTTTTTCAGGTCTTCCAATTGGACACGATGAAGATGTATGCGATTTTCATGGCCGTTGGACCTTCAAATGGAACTGGTGAGTGGCCTTTTGACAATAGAAATTCATTTTAGATACATTTAGATACATTTAGATACAGTATTCTATCCTAAATAATATATAGTCTCGATCTTTTATATATTTACAATCATTTACAATCATTTCTCTCAATTTTCAGTGCTCGCCAAGCACACCGGAGTCGCCATGTCGAGCCAAAGAATGATGATCATGTAGAGAAATCGACACACATAATAACATTTCTGTATATAAAATAAAAGCTTATCCCATCTAAAAAAGAAAATATTTATGAAAAGCGAATAAATCAAAAGCAATCAAAAGCAAAAAAACAAAATAAACGACATTGTACTCAGAGAAGACGCCTTTGAGTTTGAGCCATTTGAGTAGAAACTGGAATCTCTTGTTTTTCGTGTTCGACTACTTCAAATAGACCTTTGCAGAAAGCCAATATCCAAACAAACATTTCAATAAATTGCAATTTGGAAACTTATAGAGAAGAAAAAGATTGACAAATGGACTAAACTGTAAACTGTGTAAAAGAAGTCATGGATACTGGTTTAGGTTGGATTTGTGAACCAATTGGTTCACAAATCCAAACTTAAACCTAGGGTCTGCAAGACACAGACCATACCCACCGCCATTTCAGCCCAATTTTACCTACCGTAAATACTGTAATAGTGCCCCACTCCCCTCGTACAGTCGCGTAGTCGCAAAAGTATTTCATTATTCCATTTTTTGCAAAGCACCCGTACTTTCAAAAAAATGCGTCTTTGGTATCAAAAATAGCTGAAATTCAGGGCTATTTTTTGATACCTACGCGCGCATTGTAGCATAAACCAGTGTCGAGAAAAACACGTTCAAAGCTAGCCTACGCAACCCTCCGCACCGTCATTATGGGGGTGGGGGTACTATTACAGTATTTACAGTAGCTTTTTGCTAGGTAAACTGACTGATCTAGCCTGGGAAAACTTTTGAAATAATAATTAGAAATACCGTATTCTCTCTAATAGTAGTGCGCACTACTATTTTTTGAACCCCCTCCTGGACCGCAATACTACTAGAGAGTGCACTACTATTAAAGAGTTTTATCATTTACCAAAGTAAGACAGATATAAGATTTGTTTCAAAAATTCTTGCAATTCTTTCACGTACTCCTTTGGCTCCTTTTGACATACAGTTGTGGGCCGGCGAGTTGACAATTTGTGTCTTGACAAACAACAAAAAGATGTTTTTGCCCTTTGCACAACAATTTTAGATTTTTTGTTAACTTTTTCATGTAAAGAATAGTTAATAAATGAATAAAAAAAGCCTGACTTTTGCTTGCTTGAATAGCTTTAGAATGTTACATAAACATAAACTCAAAAAGGTTTAGATGAAAAAGAAACACCAGAAATTCAAATTTTCGAGGGTGCACTACTATTTTTTTAACCCCCTCTCGGACCGCAATACTATTAGAGAGTGCACTACTATTAAAGAGTGCACTACTATTAGAGAGAATACGGTAATTCCCTTTGATCACATTGACTGCTTTTGATTTCCCGATAGATCAACCTGATTCTACTATGTGCAAGTAGCAATAAATTGCAATAAATTTCTCTCCTTCGTTTTTTGCTCATTCAAAGTCTAATCTTTAAAACGTGGGCATCAGTGAAAGGAAGGGAAATCTTGAAATTTCGTGATAAATTTTCATCCAATTTTTTCACTTTCATTTCCCCCGGAATCCTTTCTGATAACGGGCGCGAAAAAAGAAGGGAAATTCTGACGCGATTTTCTTTTGGATTTCCTAGGTGAAAGTTCGACCTCAATGATGGGCTTATCTTCACAAAATACACAAGTTTTCACTTGATTTCACGAAAAGATATGAAAATCTCGCGATTTGTTTCAAATCTTGAAACTACACTTGAAAAGAAATCAGACTGAGAGCTGTTTAATATCTGTAGATTTTTGATGTCAACTGATGCTTTGAGCAGTTCAAAATTCAAACTTTACCACTAATAAGCTTAATTTCAAGCTTTCTTGAGTCAAAAATAAACACTAAAAAGATCAATCAGAAGTTTATAAGAGAGAAAGAGAAAACAGGCGATTTTCTCTCTTTTAGAAGAGACAGAACAGGCTTCTCTCTTTTAGAAGAGACAGAACAGGCTTCTCTCTTTTAGAAGAGACAGAACAGGCTTCTCTCTTTTAGAAGAGACAGAACAGGCTTCTCTCTTTTAGAAGAGACAGAACAGGCTTCTCTCTTTTAGAAGAGACAGAACAGGCTTCTCTCTTTTAGAAGAGACAAAGCAGGCGACTTTGTGTGTGCTTGTCCAGGCATTTTCTGGAAAATGGATGTGCCGATTAACCTAAAACTTTTACATTATATATCCAACTTTTTACCAACTTTCAGAATATCTAATCGAATTTTAGGTATCTAATCAAATGACTTTTGGGTAACTTTTCTTTAGGACTCTGTATCTGCGTCGAGAAACGAGATGAGAAAGTTTTTTAGCTCAAAAGATAGCCTAGAGTCTCTAGATAGAAAATATGATAATAGTTTTTGAATCTTAAAAGGTTGCAGATTGGAGATTGATTGCAGATTGATTGGAGATTGATTGGAGATTGATTGGAGATTGATTGGAGATTGATTGGAGATTGATTGGAGATTGATTGCAGATTGATTGGAGATTGATTGGAGATTGATTGGAGATTGATTGGAGATTGATTGGAGATTGATTGGAGATTGATTGGAGATTGATTGGAGATTGATTGGAGATTGATTGGAGATTGATTGGAGATTGATTGGAGATTGATTGGAGATTGATTGGAGATTGATTGGAGATTGATTGGAGATTGATTGGAGATTGATTGGAGATTGATTGCAGATTGATTGGAGATTGATTGGAGATTGATTGGAGATTGATTGGAGATTGATTGGAGATTGATTGGAGATTGATTGGAGATTGATTGCAGATTCGGAAACCCATTCGATGTTCTATCGAATGAACTATGGCTAAGTAGAACTATGGCTAAGTATCCATTGTATTCAGTTGTTGGTCTTTAGCTTTCAAATTCAGAAATTCTAGTCCTTTTTCTGTATATTTTCAAACACTTTTTGATAGTTTAGATTTTCTTTGAACCGAGAAGCGAAATCTTTGCTTCGACGAGTGGAAAATCTCGCAATCAGTGGTTGTAAATTTTCACTCGAATCTTTGATATGATTTGAGTGCAAATGGGCGGTGGTTATCTCCCGTTTTTTTGTCGCCAAATCACTTTCGATAGTTTTTAGAAACAAAACTAAATGAGAGAGAAAAGAATAGCTTTTCGTTTGTTTGCCTGTTTAGTGTACTTGCTTGCAGAAGCATACTGAATGTTTACCAGAACATTCTCCAACTTTATTCAATAGTATTCAATAGTACCAACTTTATTCAATAGTATCAAATTAATAAAACATTAAAACTTTATGCACAATAAACAGGAGTTATTGAAACAAGATAGACAAGAAGAGGCCACAAAATCACACTGATTTTGTCTCCATCGCTGATACGATAGTGTATTGGATTGAGGAATATGAAATGGCGACGATTTTCAAAGAAACTATTGGGTTGATGAATTGAAAACTGCGGGCTATTGTCATATGTGACAGTTTGAGCACTTTCTTCAAAAGAAACCCATTTTGGTGTCAATGGAAAAGTTGTAGAGAATCAAAAATCAAGCTTATATCCAAATTTTCAGAACGATTCAGAAACTGGTTTTCAAGAAATGCCAAATATACAAATTTTCACAAAACTTGCATTTTAAGCGAAAATACTAAGTGTATCTTTTTGGAAATTGGGATATAAGCTTGATTTTTGATTCTCTACAACTTTTCCATTGACACCAAAATGGGTTTCTTTTGAAGAAAGTGCTCAAACTGGGACATCTCCAGTCCTCGATTTTTGAGTCTCACACTTGTCTCACACACAAACCAAAATCCTACGAAGAAAGAGGAATCCCCAAATTGCCTATAAAATGGGCAGAAGTCGTCAATAATAATGGAAATTATTTGGAATGAATTCATGGTTTTATGTTGAATAAATTTTAGTTCAAAGTCCCGCAGTTTTCAATTCACCAACCCAATACAATAATATCGAGTAGTTTTTATCAAATATCATTAGAAGTATCATTAGAAAGATATCATTAGAAATAGTAGTATCATTAGAAAGAGCACTTATTTCTCTACAAAATCATATTTGAAATAGAACTCAAAAAGCACTTCAATTCAATAAAAAATCATTTTATTTTTCAGAGAATCTATAAATCGTCATTTAGAGAAAGATGACTGACGAGATTATTACAAAAATTTGACTATTAATGTAATGTAATGTAATGCAAATGTGCTCGAAATCTTTTTTGCTTTTGGGTATCAAGTTTCTTTGTAAGAAACGAGTCAAACGACGAATCGAATTCCTTTTCATTTTGATTAGTTTTATTTAGGAGCTAATAAAGTCCATAGATCCATAGATCCAATAGAATCTTAAAGAGTTTTCAAAAGCTATTTTGTAGAACAATAATAGATCGAGCTTGTTGTTGAATTTTGTTGAAAGACAACGCCATTTTATCCTTCCGAACATACAAGGGTGGTCGTTGTGGAGCATTTGACTTTCACATTTCATATTTCATCCAAACGTACCAACCCTGACTAGTTAGTCGAGGGTATTTAACTTATTTAACACATTCGCGATTGCCGTATTTTGGGCGTACAGTCGTGTAGTCGTTAACTGTTTTGCTGATAATTTTGTGAAAAGATAAACTCCTCTTGAAAACTAGTATAACTTGAGCCAGCTTGAGCCAGCTTGAGCCAGCTTGAGCCAGCTTGAGCCAGCTTGAGCCAGCTTGAGCCAGCTTGAGCCAGCTTGAGCCAGCTTGAGCCAGCTTGAGCCAGCTTGAGCCAGCTTGAGCCAGCTTGAGCCAGCTTGAGCCAGCTTGAGCCAGCTTGAGCTTGAGTTATCGAGGACTTTCTGCGAAATGAAAAACAAAATTCTTAGAAAAGTTGACACCAAAAAATCATTCATCGTCATAATCGAAATCTTCAAAATTTCCAAAAATCCGATTTAAAAGCAAAATCTTTTCTAATCAAATAAAAAAAAACCGAGAAATCGCAGTTAAAATCTTGTTTTAAAAAATGTAAATCAAGCTCTATGGAAAATAGATTTTTCCATATTTGCAAACTTTAGTTACACAGATAGACTCAAAATTTTTGATCTTAAATCTCTTAGATACCGTCGCTTGGTCACGGATTTAATAGAATGTTTCAAAATTGTAAAGGGCAGGCAACCTATCCCTCTTTTTCGAGATTTATTCAACGTTAATCACATGGTTAATTCAAGGAGGGGTTCTTTCATTTTAGAAATTCCAGTCACCTCCAATAATTTTGTGTATAACTCTTTTAACTATAACTTTCCAATAAGAACTGCCAGAATTTGGAATCGACTCCGCAGAGTTTTGAGAGAGCGTCTCGAAATCTTTAAATTATCTGTAGATGATCTTGATCTTGAAGCTCTAGTAGATCCTTTACGTTATCTGTGCTACGCATACATTACAGATCTTTTATCGTGTTGCTTTTTCTCGGCCCTTTTCGTGTTATGTTTGTATGAATTGATGTGCGTTAATCATAAATCTAGCGCACTTTATCTCAGTTCATGAATAAAGTTCATAATATCTATACAAGATTTATCATTTCCCAACAAAAAAAGTGGCAATTATTTGAGAATAAAACGATTTCTTTTCCTTCTTTAAATCTCGGTAATTCTAAATCAATTTTAAATAATAAATTCAAAATTTAGAAATGAATATTTATCTACAAAAAAATCAAAAATCATTTTAACAAAAACATTTGAAATTTTTGAACAAATAAACCTTTTTTTTAAATGTTCTTTTGATCGAAAAACATGGAAAGAAGCCAAAAAAAGATTTGGTTCTCTTTTGACTGAATATCTCTTTTTTAATGAATATCTTTTTTGACTGAATATCTCTTTTGACTGAATATCTCTTTTTAATGAAGAAATGGTCGATGATCAGCTCGGGAAATTGGGCACAAATAATTATTTTCTCATTGACTTGGAAAGATTTACGATTCAAAGTTTTAGATGATCTGTTTTTCCGTTTTTTGAGATATCTATTAGTTGTTTGCGAAAATAACTGTTCAGATAATCTTGTAGTTTTATGAATTCTTCATTTTTTTTGGCTTTGGCTCAAAAAACAAACTTTTCTTGCAACTGGGATCAAATTTTTAATACTTTGTAAATTTGTAAAGAACTTGTAAAGATTTGTAAAGAAAAGAAAAACTGGTGCCCGCTGAACCCCAGCTGTAATCTAACCTAGATATCTAGACCTAGATAGATGCTGTTTGATTTAGTTCATTAGCTGATAAGTTCATTTAGCTGTCAACTGAGCTAAGGCTTAATTTTAGGTGATCTACTGGGAAGACGTTGAGTTGTGCGTGCTCGACTGGTCGGCCACATCAGCCTACTTTGGTACGTTAGCTCTACTCGTTTTTGGCCCAGCTCTTTTGACGATCATGAGCTCTGGATGGAAAATCATTCGAGCGATGAGGAGTCCATCTGCCGAGTGGTAATTATGCCACCGTGGCGCGCAATGGTCGAGTGGTTAGCGCCCTCGCACGGAGTGAGAGAAATCAAGGGTTCGAATCCGCTTCCGCCCAAACGTTTTGCTTTTTTACCAAAGCTCAAATATTATAGAAATAACCTTTTTTAAGCAAAAAGGAGCGCTCGCAGCTTTGCGTCGAACTCCGTCCCTAAACCACGAGCGGGAAAACCCGCCGTAGGCAGGTTTATTTCTACAGTTTATTGTAGAATTACCGTATTTTCTCTAATATTAGTGCACCCTGAGCGTCGCCTAAATTGCTCGAAATCTCGAGAACCGCTTATCAAAACCTATCGATATGGGGTCGGAAAATGTAGCTGACGATGAGATCTAGTGGGGGATTTGAGTGTTGAGCTTCTGCAGCTTCTGCAGCCTCTGCAGCCTCTGTAGCTTCTGTAGATTCTGTAGCTTCTGCAGCTTCTGCAGCCTCTGCAAAAGCTTAGAAATCGTAAAATAGTCAGCAACTCGGCTCGCCCGGGTGCACTACTATTAGAGAAAATACGGTATCTATTTTACTAAATGTTAAAGTAGTCTCGATTATGGTAACATTTATTATGCGTTACGGACTACGATAATCGGAAAACGCTTTAGAGCTTTCGAGTAAAAGAGATCACTTGAAATGTCTCTGAAAAATGGCTGAAAATCACTTGGCTTTAATAGCAGGATTTCATGGGGTTTTTTTTTTTGCTTTTAAAACTGAAAACTCAACCCTACTATGCCAGATAATTCACTTTTTGTAATTTAAATAATTTTTCAGTCAATTTCAGCCAATCAGTGTTGTTTACAAAATGAATTTCTTATTTTTGTGTCGCGCAAGAGAATCCCAATATGCTATGTTCAAAATCGACCCGAAAGTGCGTTTTTTTCGATAGGGCTTCTTTTTTTTTCATTTATTTTCTCCTCAAATATACGTCTTCATTGAATATCTTTCTTTTGAAAGAAGAAATTATTTTAAAAAAGAAATTAAACAAAAATTTCTCAACTAATAAGCCGTGTTTTTTTTTGGTGATTTCTATTCGAATACTTCTGAATCACTCACTAATTGCGATCTCGATGAAAGAAAGTTCAAAAGCCTTAAACTAGAATCTTTTTGTTTCATTTTCAAGTTTTCTGTTTTCTGTTTTCTGTTTTCTGGTTTGCTTTGCTTTTAGAGCTTGTCTTGCTTTGCTTTTAGAGCTTTTAGAGCTTGATCTAGAGCTTGTCTTTAAGCCAAATCATATTGGAACCGTATCCGAACCATTTTGGAACCATTTTGGAACCATATTGGATTCTAAAGTAGGTTCATTCGTTAGCCAACCCATACAAGCTTTGTTTAAAGTTTCCTTTTAGCAACCTAGTCTCAATTTCAGATCTCTTCTGACTCCAGAAGGGATTCAAAAAGGCTTCTGACTTCTGGTCATGCTTCGAATGCTTTAATTGATTCATTGCAGATCCACAAAAGTTTCTGGATCTGATTTCTCGTCTGGCTTTGCCTGGTAGGCTTACCAGATTCTAGAGTGTTTCTAGAGGGGTTCTAGTGATTATAGAGTTTCTAGAGTGGTTCTAGAGTTTCTAGAGCTTCTAGAGTGAATGAAACTCACTTGATATCAGGCTAGGCTAGGCTAAGCTCATCAATATTATCTGATACATAGAGTGTTCGTTTGTTTGTTTGCTTGTTTTATTAAACCAGATTCTTTTGGCTGCCATTGTCAAGTTCAAAAGTCAAATGAGACGGATTGACTGAATAGATTGCAATTTGTTTTAACACATTCGCGACAAGGCGTTTTTTACGCTACTGCCCCAGTGGACGAGGGGTGTCTCGAAAAGCTATTAGCCCCGAAATACACCTCCTATGTGTAAAATTTCATGCTGAATCCGAATCTCTAATCAGATTTTGAAAATATTACTGCCTCAAAAAGATATCGGCTCTTTTTGGCTCGTGAGACAAAACGCCGCATTTCTCTTTCTCCAATGGTTTGTTTTCCACGATTTTTGTTTTATTGGATGGAGCTCAGCTAGATGAACATTTCACATCAACATCATTTTTGATAAGACTTTATCCCAAAAAGTTATGGCCGTTTTACTGGGATACGCGCAATAGAGGTCTTCTATAGCGCAGTCGGTAGAGCGTCTGTCTCTGGGGCGGGAGGGATTTCGTCCGGTGGACCACAATTTCGTCCACCGGTGGACCGAACCGTCCCAGGGCCCGACGGGCTTCGTCCACCGGTGGACCGAACCGTCCCGAACCTGTTAAAGAGCTTCAACTTTAAATCAGAACATAATGCTAGGTGTAGACTTTTGTCTCGAAAGAATAACAAGTCAGTAATGAGAATGAAATGAGAAGACGCTCATCAGAAGCCCAACGTTTACACCTTTTCTTGAACAGACAGACTTATTCATTTGATCTCTTCCTCTCATGTAGCTTTGTTTACCTTTTTTCTAATCTCATTTCAAGGCTACGGTAATTTTTCTTCTCATTTTTCTTCTCTGAGAACTCCCAAGTGTCCAATTTCTTAAAATTTCAAACATTTCTTCAAAGCTTTTTGTAGCAAAACAAATCTCTAGCTACAAAGGGATAATTTTTGATAATTTTTGAGATTTTGCTAACTTCTATTCTATTATTTCTATTATTAAGTTTAAATTTTCTTTTTTATTCAAATCAGATTACGAAAAGCTAGCCTTCTTTTATTTTGCCTAGCCTAGCCTGATATCAAGTGATATCTTCTTTTATTTTGAAAATATTATAGATTTTGATAGTTTGAAAACGCTCAGTGATCAGAAGTTTTGAAAATCTTAAAATAGCCTAAAAAAAACGAATTTCCGCACTCGGAAAAAGTGATTTCAAGTAAAATCTAGAAGAATTTCCGAATTTCCGCTTATTTTCCTTTTTCTTTGAAATTATCCAGCAAAATTTGAACTCACAACTAAAATCTTCGCGTATTTGATCTAGTTTTCATTCTCAAAAAGCAAAATTCAGTATTTTGTGATCGATTCCTCTTCTCTAGATCTTTTAAGAAAAGGTTTTTTTCAAAAAGTTGATTCAACAGTTCTTTGAAGCTTTTTGCTGGCCTTGCTGGCCAACTTTTGAGTCTAGACAAGTTTAGATACGTTTAGACAAGTCTAGACAAGTCTAGACAAGTTTAGACAAGTTTAGGCAAGTCTAGACAAGTTTAGACAGGTCTAGACAAGTCTAGACAAGTTTAGAAAAGTCTAGACAAGTTTAGACAAGTCTCGACAACCAAAGTCAACAAATTTTAGCCAAGGTTCGAGCCAAACCAGACCAGAAGTCGGTCAGACGTTGGATAAATCTCTAATTCCAAGATAAGGTTCTTTTAGCGGTCAGATCTTCAGTAAATCTAGATCCCACTTGACCAACCTGGAAATTCTGATTTTTTTTTTCAGGTTTCCTAGAAACTTTTTGTAAGCCAAGCCGACTGCAAGCCATGCCATGCCAGCCAGAACCAAGCCTGACATTTGATCTTAACAAAACTAATAAAAACAAAACAGCTGTCTTTAGAAAAACTTGACTTTTGCATTGACCAAAAAGAACTCCTCAAGCTCATTGTGCTAACCTCTTCAGTTTTCGGCTCTTTTTATGAATTCATTCTAGACTGAACAACCAACAACAACAGATAAACTAAACTTTGACCAAAGCTTTGAATCTCCTCTTGAAAACTAGTATAATGAGCTTGAGCCAGCTTGAGCCAGCTTGATCAGCTTGGCTTGAGCAGCTTGAGCAGCTTGAGCAGCTGCTTGAGCAGCTTCTTGGGTAGCTGGGCAGCTTGAGTAGCTTGAGCAGCTTCTTGAGTAGCTTGAGCAGCTTTGAGTCAGCTTGGGCGAGCTTCTTGAGCAGCTTGAGCAGCTTCTTGAGTAGCTTGAGCAGCTTCTTGAGTAGCTTGAGCAGCTTCTTGAGTAGCTTGAGCAGCTTCTTGAGTAGCTTGAGTAGCTTGAGCAGCTTCTTGAGTAGCTTGAGCAGCTTCTTGAGTAGCTTGAGCAGCTTCTTGAGTAGCTTGAGCAGCTTGAGCAGCTTCTTGAGTAGCTTGAGCAGCTTGAGTAGCTTGAGCCAGCTTGAGCCAGCTTTATCACTTACCCTTTCACAGTCCAAGTATTCTTGGGAGCAGAGCGAACGTTAGCGGAAATACTTCGTTTGGCACGGCCACAGTTCTGCAAAGTATTGGTACATTTTGATCGGTACTTGTGACTCTTACGGAGACCAGCATTTAACAACCTTAGCATTTAACAGATCAATTTGCATTTAAGAATGGCGGCCAACAGAATCACAGGTAGCTTAAGGCGTACTTGTGACTATCAAAAACACCTAAAGGGACTCCTCAAGCTCTTCAGTTTTCGGCTCTTTTTCTCCGTTGATTCTAGACTGAACAACGAAACTATCAATTCCAAAACTGCAGTCAATCTTCTTCAACTTGATCTCCTTTTCACTCTTGACTCATTCTGATGCTCTAAAAACTCGGAATGACTCTCCGAACTGAACAAACAAATTCCCCATTTGGTTTCAACAATTTCAGAACCCCCAAAATGAACAAATGCAAAAGCAAATAAAAGGCTGCTTCAACAAATAGAATTTCATAAAAAAAAAGTCCCGAAATTCCTAATCCTTCCTGAAAATTCGTCATAAAATTAACTGGTTTCGGAAGTTTTTTTATTCATTTATTCAAAATTGACGAAAATTTTCATTTTTCTGCACCTTTGGGACTGAAATTCGCCTTTTTTGCTTTTTAAAAACATCAAAGAATTTTCTCCTGATTGAATAACGAGTTTCCAAGAAATTTCTACCCACTCATCACCGAATTTCTCTTAAAAGAAAAAGATATTCAACTGAAAAATGAAACATTTAGAAATTGTTGAGAGTTCATGGCTTCGCGAATCGATTCACTCCCATTTTTCCTCATTTATTTCTCCTTTTTGATAGAGGTTTGTGTTTTTGATAAACAAATAGATAAAACTAAACATTAGAAATCTTTAGAAAGCTTTAGAAGGCTTTAGAAGGCTTTGGAACATTAGAAATTAGAATTAGAAACATTAGAACAAAGACAACATTAGAAAACTTTAGAAAAGCTAATCATTTAGTACAACTTTCTCTAATTTTAATCTAATAGACAAAGCTGAGCTGAACTACTGATCAAACTAGGCTCATCGATTCGCAAAAAAAGTCCTGGCCAGGGTTGAAGTCATTTTTCTTCCGAAAAGTTGTGAAGGCACTGAAAAAGATGTACTTTCCATCATGAAGTTAAAATTGGCCTCTATTAGGCCTCTTTAGAAGGCTTTAGAAAGCTTTAGAAGGCTTTAGAAAGCTTTAGAAGGCTTTAGAAAGCTTTAGAAGGCTTTAGAAAGCTTTAGAAAAGCTTTAGAAGGCTTTAGAAAGCTTTAGAAAAGCTTTAGAAGGCTTTAGAAAGCCTTAGAAAACTTTAGAAAGCTATAGAAGGCTTTGGAAAAGCTTTAGACAAAATTAGAAAACTTTAGAAAAGCTTTAGATACTTTAGAAAACTTTAGAGAACCTTAGAGAACCTAGAAAACTTTAGAAAAGCTTTAGAAAACCCTCGAAAACTCTAGAAAAACTGTAGAAAGCTGTAGAAAAATTTAGAAAAGCTTTAGACAACATTAGAAAACCTTAGAGAACCTAGAAAACTTTAGAAAAAGATTCAATTTTGGAATAGAGCTGAAAATGGGATATCTTGACTTTGTCTCTCTGACTTTGAATCGACTTTGAAATTTTGACTTTTAAAAACTTATAGCATTGATTTTCAGATATGTATAGCACTTTGTAAATGCAACTCTCATCTTATATCATCATCTTAAAGTCAAGATATCCCATTTTCAGCTCTATTCCAAAATTGAATCTTTTTCTAAAGTTTTCTAGGTTCTCTAAGGTTTTCTAAAGTATCTAAAGCTTTTTAAAAGTTTTCTACAGTTTTTCTAGAGTTTTCCGAGGGGTTTCTAAAGCTTTCCTAAAGTTTTCTAGGTTCCCTAAGGTTCTCTAAAGCTTTTCTAAAGTTTTCTCATGTTGTCTAAAGCTTTCTAAAGTTTTCTAAGGCTTTCTAAAGCCTTCTAAAGCCTTTTAAAGCTTTCTAAAACCTTCTAAAACCTTCTAAAGCCTTCTAAAGCTTTTCTAAAGTTTTCTAGGTTCTCTAAGGTTCTCTAACTATTCTCTAACCAATAACTAATACTATTTTTAGTATTCTTTCTAGTAATGTAGGTTTAAAATCTACTAAGCAGAAGGTAACCGTAATAGTTTAGTCAAAACTTTCTTTAGCTTATTTTATATCCATTCATCTAACTTTTTTTTTTGCAGACAATCGCGCAAAGCCCATTCGATTTCACTGAGTGCAATGGGGTGAAAATCTGTCTTTAAGTCCATCGAATTGTCTCCAAAATACGGACACTTGCACGAATGGTGTGTCGATAAAACAAACGGTTTGTTTAAAGTCATTCAATAAAATTCAATAAAGAAAAACTGTAGAAGGCTTTAGAAGACTTTAGAAGGCTTTAGAAGGCTTTAGAAAGCTTTAGAAAGCTTTAGAAGGCTTTAGAAGGTTTTAGAAGGTTTTAGAAGGCTTTAGAAGGCTTTAGAAGGCTTTAGAAGGCTTTAGAAAACTTTACTATTGAAACTATTGAAGTATTTAATAAAATGCTTCTTTTCTAGGGTGCAAAAACGATCGAAATCGAACTCTTTGCGAATAATCTTCCCTATATGGGATGGATGGCGATGGGATTTCAAGGAGTCGCTTGCAAGAATATTGAAGGAACTGGAGGACCGTGTATGGTCAGTGAAACTGGCAATAAGCATTTCAAAATCACAATTTAAACTCTTATTGAACCTTTTTGGTTTATAACATTTCTAAAACATAATTTTTATTGTTAAACAATCCCGAAAACATCGAGCAACTACGGTCTCGTCACGTAGAAACACGGCATCCCGTCAGATCGTCAGTATGGCTAGTCAAGTGTTGTGCCAAGTTGCCAAGATCTGCCAAGGGCTCGGCTAGTCTCTGATTTGAATCCAGCAAATGAGTCAGGGATATCTTCTCTGAACTGAGTGCTGTAGGTAACCGCACTCATATGGTGAACTGGTTCCCAAGACCGGCCCCCCTAGGCCCCCTTAGGCCCCTTCCCCTCGGGATTGGGATAACCAGGGATCCAAATGAGTAGACTTGTCTAAAGCGCAAGCTCATATAAAGCGGGTAGCCTTCTCCTTCAACAACGTCTCCATCGTCTCCTAGATCGTCTCTTACATTGTCTCCTAGATCGTCTCCTACATTGTCTCCTTCATCGTCTCCTACATCGTCCCCTACATTGTCTCCTAGATCGTCTCCTACATTGTTTCCTAGATCGTCTCTTACATTGTCTCCTAGATCGTCTCCAACATCGTCTCCTACATCGTCCCATCTTCACAAATGATAGACTATTCCCTAGGTCTTAATGTGCAAATTGTGATTATGTGTGTGCAAAATACCGGTAGCCCCGGTATATATTATTATTATTACTGAAATTTATACGTAAAATCTCAATCAAAGACTACTCTTAGCATGACAAAATGCCTTGAAAATGTTACTCAAATCTAATATTCCAGGCAAACACACCGGTGACAGAATGCTCATGGACAAATGGACGACAAATGACGGCTGGACTCTCATACAATGATGCGACTCCACAAAATCTTCGGATTACGAATGTTGATGTGAGTGAAAGGGGATAATGGTACACTTATTGCTTATAGATAAATACTAGACTTGACTGAAGTCTGTATCAGATCAGGATCTTGGTTTAGCTTTAGCTAAACCCAAATCCACCTTTAAGTCCAGATATCATTTCAGAAAGCTTATTAGAACAGTTGCGATCTCTAAACATCTCTATAAATCTCTGAAACTGTCATAACTTGAGAATTATTTGTGGGTTTTCCTTCTAATCTTAAATTTACCAAAAACTTGATAAACTTTTGAATCTTCAATACAAAAATTCTTTCTAGAACCGATTTCGACAAATCTTTACTCTTAAAATCTTTGAATATTTAGGCTCTGATGAAAGCGATTAATTTCACGCAAGAAGTTGTGACTCAAGTCGAGAATATGACATATTGTCGAGTATCACAAATGGTTACAGCCGCTCCACTCAATGGAGTTTTTGATGCGGATAAAGTGAGTGAAGATTAAGAGATTGGCAAGAGAGAGTTCTCTCATTCAGGTTTTTCAACAAGATTCATCCAAAAACTATTCGATTCTGAATGCAGTTGGACCGGGAAATGGGACCAGTAAGTTACTAAGCTCTTTGTACTCAAAAAAAGCCGAAACACACTCTTTCTAGTACACTGTACAGTACAGTACAGTACAGTACAGCACAGTCGATTTCAATCGATCGGTGCGCCAGAAGGAATGTTTAAGCACAAAGTGCCCCTTTTTCAAATAGCGTCGACTCTAAAGCAGTACAGTACAGCACAGTAAAGTACAGTACAGTACAGTACAGCACAGTCCAGTCCAGTACAGTACAGTACAGTACACTACAGTACCGTACAGTTCATTTTGTTTTAATTAATCCCCAAACCAGTGCACTAGAAAGGAGATGACACGTTTTTGAGTCAAAAACTAATTTTTTCAAATGCCAGCTAGTCTACTTTGTGTTCACATTTAAACACACGCTTTCTTGTGCAATATATTCTGTATTTTGAATTGATCAGTGCGCCAGAAGGAATGTTTAAGCACAAAGTACCCCTTTTCGAAATAGCGTCGACTCTAAAGCTTTCCTCAGCTACCATAAACCGATCTAAATCTCGAAAATCTCTGAATCTAACTTTTCAGCAATTTCCAAGCATACTGCCATCGCTCTCTCGCAACTCCGTTATCCAGTGATGGCGCCAGTCAACTCAAATGCTACCACTGTAGCTTCAATTCCAACTACTACAGTAATCGAAGTGACAACCACAACTCCAATCCCAATCCCATCAACCACTTCAATTCCCCTCCAAACCACCACAAAATTCTCCTTGTTTACCTCCACAATTTCCTCATTTTTTATCATTTTTTTCGGGTTCTTTTTTAAATAAAATGTTTTTTTTTTGATAAAATTTTTGGTAATTATTGTAAATAAATGATTTAAAGAGTTAATTTTTTAAAAAGAAACCTGAAATTCGACAAAAACTAGAAAAACAACCTTTCTGATGCAATGAATTCTTCATTTTCCCTCTGACAATAGCTTGATAATAAGGAAATAAGTATGCTAGAAAGGCGTTTTTTGTGTTAGAGCACAAAGTATACTCTATAGTCCCCTTTTTAGGCCATTAGTGCCATACTTTGTGCTTGAAAATCTGTAAACAAACCCTTTCTGCTGATGTGAATTCAATTTTTCCTTACGAAAGCTAACCGTTTCTGTAAGAAAAGAGGGATTGAAAGCACCAAAAAGAGTGTTTTTACACACTTTTAACTCAAAAGTCATTTGCTAAGAGAAAAGCTTTCCAAAAACAGAATTCGACATAAATTTTACAAAGAAAATGAAGAAAGAATTCTTGATTTCCTCATTTTTTCATCAATTTCGATGACTTTTCCCAATGAAATCATCAAAGAATTTCCCTATTTTCCTCTATTTTCTCTCTTTTTTCTCTTTTTTCATTCTTACATTTCAAAATGAACATCTGGCAAAAAAAGGAATCATTTGAGTGTCTCAATTTTATTTTTTTTTTATTTTATCTTTCAATGAATCTTTCCACGAAATTTGGACTCTTTTTTACACAAAATTTTGCAAATTTCTCTTTCACTAGGAAATTTTTATATAATTTTCTATTTTTATTCAATTTCTATTCAATTTCTATTCAATTTCTATTCAATTTCTTTTGAATTTCTTTTGAATTTCTTTTGAACTTCTTTTGAACTTCTTTTGAACTTCTTTTGAACTTCTATTCAATTTCTATTAAACCATTTTTCTATACGATAACTTTCAAAGCAAGAATATTACAATTCTTTAATAGTTCAAGCTTTGCCTTTAATAGATTTACCTAAATACTTTAGTAACTCATTAAAACAGTCAATTTATTTTTTTTTTTTAAAAAATACATTTATTGAAAGCCAATAATGTGATACAAACAAAGGATACATAATAAGACATAACGGTCTAAATACACAATTTTTATGGCACTGCGGCCGTTACCCCTATTATCCCTATTACCCAAATGTTGTGAAAGAAAAAACCCACTTGGTGGGAAAAAGAAACATTTTTATCTTGCCAGCGTGATTGAACCCTCGACCTTCCGCTTAAAAGACAAGACTCCTAACCGGTCGGCCATCTGGCCTCTTTATGTTCTAATTTATGTTCTAAAAACATAAAAAATCTAACCAAAACTTTCTCTAGAACTCTGTAATTTTGTTCTAAAAAAAAAAATTTAGAAGATTGAGAAGATGAGATTTTCTGAATGGAAGATCACCCAATTTCTCATCATTCTCAGCCTCTCATTTCTTTCTTTAGTGGTGAGTTTTTAAAGAAATCGACTTAAGCTTTGTGCTTAAATGTAAACAATTGCCTTTTCCTTACCGTAAATACTGTAATAGTCCCCACCGCCCTCGTACAGTCGCGTAGTCGCAAGTATTTCATTATTTCATTATTTCATTTTTTTTCAAGGCGCCCGTACTTTCAAAAAATGCATCTGTGGTATGAAAAAATAGCTGAAATTCAGGGCTATTTTTTGATTCCTAAGCGCGCATTTTAGCATAAACCAGTGTCGAGAAAAACTCGTTCAAAGCTAGACTACGCAACACTCCGCACCGTCATTATGGGGGTTGGGTACTATTACAGTATTTACGGTATGTAAATATCCCTGAAAAAAATTTTCAATGGAAAATAGGTGGGCGGTTGAGTGAGAAGCTTTTTCTGATAACTAAAACGCTTCCACACTACTCCCTTTGTCATTTTCTGAAAATCGTTTCCAAATTCGGAATCTCCGGCCTCAATTCTAGCTACAGAAAAATTTTCAGCTTAATCGGTTCAGAGAGAGCTGAGAAATTGACGATTGAAAGTCCACTAGGCCCTCCAAAGGAAACAGTGACCTCCCTTCTTAAAAGCCCCTATTTTATGGTGCTCGGCCGTGGGGCGTCGTGGTGAGCGCATGTGAGCCAGGAAGTCTTTTGGGCTTTAGGAAGTGCAAGAGCTTTAGGAAGTGCAAGGTCTTACCCAGGAACGCGCCGAGTTACATGAGCTTTCAAGGGTACAGGATCAAACTTTGAGTCTTTCACAATAACTTGATCATGCAAATGCACAAGTAACGGCTTTCAAGTTACTTAACAATCGAGGCTTTAAGGAGTGATGAATCAATTCATGAAGTATCCTTTCTAGCACATTGAGTTCCCTATTTTTCTCTTAAAAAAGAAATGTTTCAAGAAAATGAAGAGTCAAATGCATCAGAAAGGATATGTTTATGTTGTTGAACACAAGGCAAAGAAATATGTTCAATTTCAGCGTGCCAGGTCATCGTTATTTCCGCGATATTCCGCTCTCAATATGCCGTTTGATTTCAACGAGTGTTTAACGAAAAAACATTGTGTTTTTGGACCAGCGAATTGCGAAAAGGATAAATCCTGTATTCACGGAGCGAGCATTAGATTGCTGGTTGGTTGCTGGTTGGTAAACATGGGAAAATCTAAAGTTCAAGAAGTTTTCAAATAGTCGAAAACGCTTCTTACAATTAGTATAGAATAATGTTTTGGTTAAGAGCTGAATGTTAAATGCTAGATACAATATTGCTCAGGAGAAGAAAGAGAGTGAAGTGATCGAAGTGGAGATGTGGTCGTCGGATCTCCCAGAATGGATGGGAGTAGGTGTTCAGTCAAAGGAATGCGATGAGGTTGAGGGAAATGGAGGACCGTGTTTTGTGAGTGAATTTTGAATATTTAGATCTTTCTAAATCTCTAGGCCAACACCCCGACAGTCGATTGTTCGGTCACTGGAAAAGGGAGCAAAATCGGCCTCTCCTATATGGACTCGTTCGCTCGAAACACTCGAATCAATAATGTTAAGGTAAAGCCATCAATTTTATACAAAGCCAGGTACAAAGCCAACCAAAGTTATCCATTTTGTAGGAGTTGATGAATTTGACGGAATTGCGAAGCCTTCGTTTCACCAAGAATAGAATCACCTATTGTAAAGTGGAAATGCTCAATGGAATGTCGATGAAAGGAGTCGGGAATGGGCACAAGGTTTAAATAAAATAAAAAGATTTTAAAGCAATGAAATGGATTAAATTGTGCTTTATACTTTACAAATAACCACTCTGAAAGCAATTTTCTTGCCTGGTAAAGGTTTAGATTTCTAAAAGGCATACTTAGACCTTCAAATAGCACTTGCTAGCTTCTTTGAGCTTGAACAACGCTTTTGAACCAACTTTAAACCTTTATCTGAACTAAATTCGATAAGGGCACCAACAACAACTTGTCAAAAGCTGCCGAGCGAATTTGAGAAGGCCATCGTCGAGCAAATTCTGAAGCTGAACAAGACAATTAAAGATCAAAGAGATCAAAAAATTAAATCAAAGAAAACAATCAGCTAACAGCTAACATTTATAAGCTAGAAACTTTAAAATCAAACAAAAAGCTAAATAGCTAAATAGCTATGATTTTAATAATGATTCATTTTCATAAATGTTTTTCAGGTTCTCCAGATCGATCCGACCAAATCGTATCTGTTGTTGACCGCTCAAGGGCCCAGCAATGGAACAAGTGAGATCAATAGGCCAGACTTCAAGATCAAGACAAAACTATAAACTATCGAAATTTGAAAGCTATCCAAAGATTACTGTAATAAGACAAATTTCAGCTTTCACCTCGTCTTTGATCTCGACGATTCGAGCGGGTTTCGGAAAAGGAACCTCTAGAGGCACACAAGCACCAATCCTCAGAACTAAGAAAGGATTCGACACAACAATTGAGAGCACAAAGAAAGTCGCGCCTTTTATCAGTTACACCAAATCAATGAGACGATTTATTACGAAAAGGACGACACAAAGTCCTATTGGACCAATGGTGAGAATCGAGGTTAGTTTGAACGATAGTTTACTCTTATTGAGAAAAGAAATTCAAATATTCTTTAAAATCCTTAAAATTAGAGAATCGATTGTGTCAAAAGACAAAAGTTGATGCAAGATCTACGGAGGAGAAAGACTTCTTTCATTCCAGAGATTCAGAGTTTATTAAACGGTCTAGTTTCTTGCATTCTTGCATGCTTGCATTCTAATGCATTCTAAAACTTGTCCACTTTCGAAAACTATCATAATTTTGTTTCTAGATGTCAGTTTACAATAGCTTTGAGAGTCTAAGGATTTAAGAGTTTAAGAGTTTAAGAATTTTGGGAGTTAGAATGCGAGCAGCACCCTCTAGTCTAGAGCCAGCACCTTAACTTTACAGCCTATATAAAGCCTTTTCATTAAAGCCATTAAAACCATTAAAGCCTATATAAAGCTTTTTCTAAAAAACCCAATATTAAGCTGTGAATCTTCAAGCTTTTTTTAATGACTTGTCTGTCTAATGACTCAATATTTTCAGTCTCATGTAATCGATGAGTTGAAGTTAACTCCTCCGCCAAAAAAGGACTCCTCATCATCCCACACATTCACTTTCCTCGTCTCAGCGATTTCTATCATTCTTGTGATTCTTTGGTGCTTGTAAATACGAATTTGGTTCTTTATTTTAAGCTTTATATCTATAATTTCTAAATTTCACTTTCATAAATCATTTGCTTTCTTTTTTTTGACTAAAGTTTCCCTCCACTTCTTTTACATAAAATTTTCAATGTTTTCAATGAAAATCATTGACTTTCTTTTCCTTTTCAACATCAATCTTGTGGTGAGTTATTGTTGAAAAATGGAAAACCTGAAAACTTACGGGAAAATGAAATAAAAAGATTCAAATTTTCAAGTTATTTTGTGTCCTTTAGGAGTGAGTTTTATTGAAGCTAAAGAATCGAAAAACTAAGCACATTTCGAAATGAAATTCAAGAATAAATTCCTTATAGTTAAACGATTTCCCATATAGTTTTGTGTTCAAGAATAAACTCGAATCAGAGTCAACGCTCAGATTTAGTCATTCAGCACGATGAACGTTGAACTAGCTAGAGTAGGTTGAGCTGATGAGAGCTGGTTAGAGTAGGTTGAGCTGGTTAGAGCTGGTTAGAGTAAGTTGAGCTGGTTAGAGCTGGTTAGAGTAGGTTGAGCTGATGAGAGCTAGCTAGAGTAAGTTGAGCTGATGAGAGCTGGTTAGAGTGGGTTGAGCTGATGAGAGGTAGCTAGAGTAAGTTGAGCTGATGAGAGCTGGTTAGAGTAAGTTGAGCTGGTTAGAGCTGGTTAGAGTAGGTTTGATTTTAAGAAAGAAAACCTGTATTTGCCTTGAAGAGAGAATTTTAAGAAAATTTTATTAGAAAATTGAGAAATTTTAAGAGAATTCTCTTAAAAACAAGTAAATTTTTTTTAAAACGTTAAAGTTTTCTCTTGAATTTCTTCATTTCTGTTATCATTTCTTCAGTGATTTGCGTGTAATCCTCAGCTTTTCACATCACAAAAAAAAGAATGAAAAGCTTAGGTGAAAGGAAAGATGAATTTTGAAAAAAGAATTGATAGGCACAATGATTTCCTTCTTAAACATTTTCTTCTTTTCATTCTTTTAAATAAAATTTTCAGGTATTTACAATGAAAATCATCGACTTTTTTTTCATTTTCGGCATCAATTTTTTGGTGAGTTTTTTTTTGAAAAATGGAAAACCTGAAAAATTACGATAAAATGAAATAAAAAGATTCAAATTTTCAAGTTATTTTGTGTCCTTTAGGAGTGAGTTTTATCGAAGCTAAAGAAAATTTTGGTGAGTTAGTGTTGAATGTAAGGAAAAATGTAAGGAAAATGGAAAATGGAAAATGGAAAATATTCAAATTCTCAATGTTTGAACACTCAATGTTTTTCGATTGCCATCAAGAGTCAAGAGGATTTTCACCTGTTCGATCTCGATGAATGTTATTATGGGAAGAAGTTTTGTATTCTTTATCCAACGGGATGTTTGGAAACAAAAGGGATGCATTGCGAGCACGGCGCATCCGTCAGACAAATTGTGAGTTTTATTGAGAAATCAACTGAAAAACCCGTTTTTCTGGCCGTGGACTTGTTGCCGGTGTGGTGCAGTCGGGAGTGCACTGGTCTACAGCAAACCACACCCCGGGTTCGACCCCCTTGTGGTTTTTACTTTTTTGAATTTTTATAATTTTTCCTCTCTTTATAACACTTATGCGCGTGGGGTGTGATAGTGGCTGCATAGTGTAATGGATAATGGAGTAGGATAGGGAGCTAGTCGAGCAACTAGTCGAGCAACTAGTCGAGCAACTAGTCGAGCAACTAGTCGAGCAACTAGTCGAGCAACTAGTCGAGCAACTAGTCGAGCAGCTAGTCGAGCAGCTAGTCGAGCAGCTAGTCGAGTAACTAGTCGAGCAACTAGTCGAGTAACTAGTCGAGCAACTAGTCGAGCAACTAGTCGAGCAACTAGTCGAGCAGCTAGTCGATAGTTCGAATCCACTCACTTTCCTTCGAATTCGAATCCACTCCTTTCCAGCATATCATAGTTTGCTCTATGCCAGATGACGCACGTTTGTATCTGCACACAGGAAACACATTAGATTGCTATTTCAAACCAAACGCCCAAATTTAGTCGTTCAGCACGATGGAGGTCGAGCTGTTCACGACGAAAGTCCAAGAGAAGATCACGAACACGTGGATGGGATTGGGATTTCGCGATAAAAGCCAATGTCAACCGTATTGTACGGATATGGATCAGTGCCCCGATCAGTGCTATGTTCGTTTTTGAATATTAAAGCCATTCAACTACAGTAAAACCGCTAAAACTGCAATGTGTTTGTGATATTTTTCAGCAAAATACGCCATTCATTGAGTGTGCGACGTGGGGAGACGAGAATTTGGTGCCCGCACTCTCGTACAACAATTTCGACGAAAGCAAAAAACAGGAGGGACTCTATTATGTGGAAACGGTGAATATAGCGGAATCTTCTTATTGATCTAGAGAAGATAGAATGAAATGAGCCCAAAAAATGATCCGACTTTTTGCCGGAGTCGAGTCTTGCCTCATTTGCCAGCCTATTATGTCTATTTTCTCAGCCACTCAGCATCTTTGTTGAGTGTAGTATTTCACTGTGGGATAAAGCTGAACCTAAGATTCCTAAAGTTTGTCTCTACTAGGTTGGTGCAAATGAAATTTCGTTTTTTTACAAACATTAAAGTCATCCAAAATTTTTTTAGATAACAATTTATTTAAAACAATAAGCACCATTATTATCTATGACATCCCTCCAACGTTGCTTCAGATTGCGGATCCCCTTCTCAAAGAACGCTTGATTCTGTGATGCAAAGTAGTTGGTCACCCAATTTTCGACTTCTTTTGCATTCTTAAACTGGCAATTCTCAAGGGAATGTTGCATCGATCTGAAAAGGTGAAAATCGGAGGGTGCTAAGTCTGGACTATACGGCGCATGTGGTAAGACCTTCCATCCTAGCTTCTCTAGTTCCTTACAAGAGGTTTTTGCCGTGTCAGCTGGAGCATTATCACGGAGAAAGTTGATAGTTGAGGGATTTAGGCCTTTTTCACGCAAAATTTCGTCAACCTTCTTGAGTTGTTGAATAAAATAAGATGAATCGACTGTTTTTCCGGGCTCTAATAATTCAAAATGAACAAGTCCATTGATATTCCACCAGCAAGACAACATCACTTTGCGCCCATGATAATCCGGCTTTGGAGTTGGAATTGGCGCTTGACCTTTGCTCAGCCATTGTCTTTTTCGAGAAGTATTATCAAAGTGAATCCACTTCTCATCCATCGTCAAGATATTCTCAAAAAAAATGGCTTCTTTTCGACTTATGGAGCAAGATATGGCTGATCGAAACGCGTGCTCCCAGATTCTCAACACTCAATTGATGTGGAACCCATTGTCCATTACGATTTGTCTTTCCAATTATTTCCAAATGGCGTACAATTGTTGAATGATCACATTGAGATGTTTGGCAAGTTCTCGTGTTGTTTGCATTGGATCAGCTTCAATTAATTGTTCCAATTCATTGTTGTCGATGGCTGTGGCACGATGTCCATGCGATTCGTCTTCAAGGGATTCATTACCATCTCGGAATTGGGCAAACCAGAGCTGGCATGATCTTTCGGTGATAACCTGTTCTCCAAAGGCGGAACAGAGATCACGATGTGAATCAGCAGCGTTTTTGCGCATTTTGAAGTCATAGAGAAGACACGTGCGCAGAACATACTTTTGATCCACCATGATCTAAAGCAAAAATCAATTAAAAAGTGAAAGCTCTGACTTTGAAAAAATGCGAAAATAAAGTAAATATCCAAGAGTACAAATGCACAAAAGAACATCAAATAAGCTCTTCAGATTAAAAAAATAAGAACATTTTATATCGACCGAAATTTCTTTTGCACCAACCTAATATTAAAAGAATAAGAATGAAATGCTGTAAAGCTGGCTGGCAAAATAATCATGAGTACTGAAGATCTAATAGGAATTGCCCAATAGAAATGGGAAAATTCAAAGCCCAACCTAATTCCACCCTTATTTTCTTGTTCGATTGCTCTGGAATTTTGTCTACAGATAGAAGTCTTCATTTTCAGCTTGTAGACAAAATTTTAGAGCAATCGGCCAAGGGACGGCCGAGAAAATGAAGGTGGAATTAGGTTCGGCTCGGAATTTTCAATGTCTAATGTCTATTAGGTAGCGCACTGGCTTGGAATCCGGCCTGGAGTTGGCTGGCTTGGCTTGACCCGTCTAGGCTAAACCTCTAATCTGATCTAAACTGATTTAATCTAAAAGTCTCATACGTGAATGTGCCTGGGCCAGATCTGGGCCCAGGTTGACCACTAGTTCTATTGTGTTAGTGGCATGAGTTTGGCCTGATCTGATCTAGAGAAAAAGTCGATCATTTTTCCTCAAAAGTCTGACATTTCTCGCTTCTATTCAGGATATGGGAGTGCTTGAAAGCATGGAAACATTCTTAAACGACACTTACTTGTATTGTCGAATGAAACAATGGATTCAAGGAGATGCCGCGGCGGCAAATGTGAAAAAACACAAGGACGCGAATTATGTGAGTTTGAATTGATTTGAAATGATTTTTTACAAAGCACAATATGTTTAGGTGTTGGTTTACAATAAACAACTCGAGTACGCAATGATGACAACTTGGGGATCGACTAAGGGAGTGAATGACGGGGCGAATAAGTGTCAGTTTAAAGAAAAGGCGTTTTTCTAAAGCTTCACAATGTTCTGTAATCGTTAGAAAAATTAGAGATAGATATATTGGATAAAAAGTCGATTACGGTAATCGATTCGGGAACTTGCAATGATGTTTGCTGTAGGCCACACAACCATTGGGGTAAAGCGAATCTCGTCCGAAAATGGGTATCCCATCAACTTAGTGCTAATAAAGCTAATAAAGCTGGCGCTAATAAAGCTAATAAAGCTACTCGAGTGACTATGGCCGGTATTCTTCTTCGTCAATCAAAAACTCGAGGTTTTTGGGAAACTTTTGTGACGACCGATGAAAAATGGATTTACTACGATAACCCATCGCAAAAGCCGTAGTGGTATAGCCCAGGAGAACAGCCAAAAACGACGCCACAACGTGATTCGGATGGAAGAAAGGCTATGTTATCTGTTTGAATTTCCGTGGTCTTTTACACTTTAAGGGTCTACCTTCCCTTCCAACAGTCACTCAGATCTATATGTGCAACAGCTAGAACGAGTAGACCAGGCTCTCAAGAATCCAGGTGTAAACACATCGACTGCGAGATATCTGCAAGATTACGCGCGCCCACACACATCAAAGAAGACGCAGGAAAAACTCGAGGATATTGGGTTGGGAATGTCTCCAGATCTGGCATCCTTAGACTACCACTTATTTCGATCTATGCAGCACTTCCTGACCGATAAACACTTCAAGGATCACGACGAAATCCGAATTTGGGTAAGCCAATACTTTGACTCGCAGCTTCAGGATTTCTTCAGCAAAGGGATCCGAGATTTGAAAGAAAAATGGAGAAAGACTATTGCCAACAACGGAGAATATCTAGAATATCTTTTGGATTAAAGCGCATTTTTTTTCTTTTTCTGGAGATAAATTTGTTTTTCATTAAAAGGGTATTTTCTTCCCGGACAATCTAATAATAGAAAACGTATTTTTGAGAATTGCACCTGTTTTTAACCTTTGAAAAGTCGCGTTTCTCTGTACCTGTATCGGTTTTAAACATTAGATTGAAAAATTCAAAATTCATTTTAGCGGTCGACTTTGTGAATCCGTGGATTTATTCAGTGGATCCTTATATGTTCATGATGCATATCCGTGCCTCGACCACCCCAAAGTCCACAATGATTCCCCCATTTCTCTCCTCAATCACAATCCTTTTTGTCTCTTTTCTATTCAGATTCTGAAAAGTTTTCAAGAATAAAAAAGAAAAAAGAAACTTTGTGCTCAAAAATGCCTTTTCTAGAGCACTTCTTTCACATTTCCTTGTTTTCAAAGCATTGCTACAAGAAAAAGGAAAACTTTTTGGTACTTATTGGTTATCTCCCCCCCCCTTAGCTCCAAAAAAAAGAAACCAAGCTTTCAACTGAAATTTTCCCCACCCACCAATACTCCGTTGCGCTTCGCTGGTGCAATTAAATGCTAATTTCTTTTCTAGTTTTGCATTACATGTTTAAATGGTTTTAGAAAACAGAACATAGAGACATAGACAATGTTTTTATTCTATAAACAATTGCTACCGTAATACCACTAATAGCAGCGCCCCCCGTACAGTCGCGTAGTCTGACCTCTTTTTAGAAAATCATTTTTCTCTCAGCTGCTAGATTTTTCCCAACTGCACTTTTAGTATCAAAAAATACTAGATTTCACGGGCTATCATTTGACACCCAAGCGCACACTGTAGCATAAAGCAGCGCGGAGAACGGAGCGTGTAAAGTTAGACTACGCGGCAATACCCCGTCGTTATGGGGGGACGGGGCGCTACTATTAGAGCTATTACGGTATCGTTAATGTTTATGCAAATTTTAAAAATTAATACTACTTATAAGAGCCCCACTCGGAAAATCCAAATGTTATATGCAAATTAATAAATGTAAATTGGTAAATGCAAATTTTTGAGTGCCTTGGGGAGATAACCAAAAAGTGCCCTTTTTTTACTTAAGTGCATCAGAAAAGGAGTGTTTCTACAGTTTTTGAGCGCAAAGTACACCAAAAAAAGCAAATAATCAATCAATTTCCTTGTTGGTTTACTGTCATTTCTTTTGAAAACAATTTGTTGCCTGTTTTTTTTTCTTCTCTTTCTCAGCACCATTTTCTAAAAGCTAGAACAAGCTACTGTAATCCTGCGAACCGTAATCTCATTTGAAAAAAACGATAGCCTTTTCTTTTCAAAAACAAGCAACTTTTCAAAAACAATTGCCTTTTCCTTGCCGTAAATACTGTAATAGTATCCCACACATCCGCGCGAAATAAGCCAAAAAAACGTTCTCTATCAGAATTTCACGTTTGAAATATCCATTCGACGCAGAGAATTGTGCTGAATCGAATGATGAAGAAATTATCGAAATCTGTCTGACTCGATTTTTTTTAAATCGCCTTTTATCGAAAAAAGCGCACTTTTGCAATCAACTCGCTCGCCGCGACCAACTTTCGGTGGCTCGTTCTCAGCGTGGTCGAAAGATTGCGCCCTCAAAACCGATAACTTTTTTGTGGACGTGTGCAAAGATCATTTTGATACCAAAAATGGGGCCCCACTGCCCTCGTACAGTCGCGTAGTCGCAAGTATTTCATTATTTCATTTTTTGCAAAGCACCCGTACTTTCAAAAAAATGCGTCTTTGGTATCAAAAAATAGCCCTGAATCTCAGCTATTTTTTTGATACCAAAGCGCGCATTTTAGCATAAACCAGTGTCGAGAAAAACTCGTTCAAAGCTAGACTACGCAACACTCCGCACCGTCATTGTGGGGGTGGGGTACTATTACAGTATTTACGTTGTTCTTTTAAAAGCTGGATTCGAGAAAAACTATTCTTTTTATTCTCAAAAGATTACGATAGCTTTTTTCTTTTTTAAAAAACATATTTTGCCTGTTAGAGCTTATGTTTTTTGTCAAAAATTCTTTTTCCCTTTTACTTTTTAAAACTTTTACTATTCTTTTTCTCTAAAAGCATAAATTTTTCTGTATTCTTATATCAAAATGACACATTAATATCATTTTTTTTCTAAAATTCTAAAAGATTAGATAAATTGATCGTAAATTAGAGCTTTTAACGAATATTTTAAGTTCAACAAAAAGAAAGAAGTGAGCTCTTGTGTTTGGGAAAATTACCCCCAAATTTTCTCCCAAAAGATGGCAATTTTATCGATTTAGAATGAGAAAAAGATTAAGATAAGTGAGAATTGTTTATTTTTATTTCCGAAATTCTTATTTTTTTCATGTACTTTATGCTAAAATGTAGAAAGAAAGTTTTTGGCTTGATTCTTTGGCTTGATTCTTTGGCTTGGTCCTTTGGCTTGGTCCTTTGGCTCGATTCTTTGGCTTGATTCTTTTGCTCGATTCTTTGACACGATTCTTTGACTCGACTCTTTGACTCGATTCTTTGGCTTGATCCTTTGGCTTGATCCTTTGGCTCGATCCTTTGACTCGATCCTTTGACTCGATTCTTTGGCTCGATTGTTTGACTCGATTCTTTGGCTTGATCCTTTTGCTCGATCCTTTGGCTTGATTTTTTGGCTCGATCCTTTGACTCGATTCTTTGACTCGCTCCTTTGGCTCGATCCTTTGGCTCGATCCTTTGACTCGATTCTTTGACTCGATCCTTTGGCTTGATCCTTTGGCTCGACTCTTTGACTCGATCCTTTGGCTCGATTCTTGATTCTTTTTAGTCTTTCTTCATTCTTTTTCGCTCAACTTATCGAGTTTTTCTTTAACTCTTTTAAATTACTCTTTCTTATTTTGAAATAATATTTTATAAAACGGAAATTTGAACAAATTTACTTTTGTTAAAGTAGTCTTATTGATAATTCTTTAGAATTTTGTTTAAAGTAGAATAAAATGGTGTGGCGAGATGATCAGAGAGCGATGGGATTCGCCTTCTCGGAACAATTCAGCCCATGTCTAGTAAGTAAAGAAAAGAATTTCACCACTTTTCATTTGTTTTTTTGTTTTAACTTGAGCCTGAAATGGTTTGAGTTGTCTGTCACGCTGTGTCCTTAATAGTGATTCAAATAGAATGATTCTAAATGATTCTAATCTGCTTCAATCTTTCAATCTTTCAATTTAACCTATAAAAAGTGTGTTTTCAGATCAAAGTTTTCCCTTTGAAAATTCAAATTTTTGTCTTAAAATCTTATTATAAAATTCTTAAATTCAATCTTATTATAAGCGAAAGAGTGTGTGTGTCTGTAGTCTGTGTGTCTGTTGCGAAAGAGTCTGTGTGTCTGTATCGAAAGTAATGGCTGAACCAATCGATCTGAAAGTTTGACATTATAAACCTAAATTTTTACTTAGTTTCCAAAAATCTAATAATATTTAGCACATAATTTGACCGTTTTTCCTAAAAAGTGAAATTAAAGAATACATGCTAAAGCGTGGTGCAGAATCAATCAAAGAAGAAAATCAATCAGCTAAGTCATGCCTGACTTTTGATTGTCTCGGATAGTTTTTACCGTATTTTCTCTAATAGTGGTGGTGCGCCCCGGCGTCCGATCTGCCAAGTTGAGTTGAGTCTCGGGTTCGATCCCGACCCGATACAATCTTTGTTTTGCTTTCTTTGTTCTTGAGTGAGAAAGGTCATGGGTTCGATTCCTCTAGGGGTAAATAAAATAAAATCCGTCTGCACAGAGCCTGGCCAATGGCTGGTCTTGCTGGTCTGGCTGGTCATGGACAAGGACATAAACTGAATCCCTTTGCAGAACGAGGCTCTCATCCAGGACATTGTCTACGTGGCCGGTTGTTTCCTCGTCTTATTCTTTGTCTCATTTCAACTCTTCTCCATTCGTTATCTCTATTTGCATAAAGCTCATTTTGCGGCTTATTTGCGTCACAGTTGCACAGTGATCAGTGTTACGGTAAAAGAAGTTTGTTGTTTTCAAAAAAACGAAACACAAATTTAGTGCATCGGTATCCTTTTCCTTAATATGACCGCCGTCAAAACTTCTTTATACAATTTTGAATCAAATTTATTGCATAAACTTCGAAGTTGAGCAAGAAATGAATATGAAAAAATGTTAAATTTCAGTTTGGTTGACTAGTTTAAGATATTTGGAAACGATTCAAATCTCACTTCTTTGCTATCTCGTGATGGTGAATATGTCGACGGTTGTGTTGATCAGTTTTGTGCGATTGTTGGCAAGAATGCGGCCGGAGAAAGAAGAGAAAGTTCGTGATTGAAAGGATTTTTGGTGATGATTGGTGATGATCTTTCTTTCTTTCTTTTTTAGGTTGCCCGAATGAGTTTCCTCACCGTTTACACTCCGATTTTCGCTCTTCCTTTATTATTTTATGTCTTTGTCGCTATCATTTTTGCTCTTTCATCGTGTTGGAAAGAAAGAATTGAGGTGAGGATTGAGGAAATTCGTGAATTCTTCAAAAAAACCAAGAAAATTTCCAGAGTTTCCGCACAATTTGCGCTATCTTCAGCTTTTTGGTTTTCATCGCCACTTTAAGCACAATAGCCATCAATGGAGTTCATTATTTTCATTTGAGAGGGTAAAGTTTGTAAGAAAATCTATAAAATTACAAATTTAGAAGACGAAATCGACGAAAAGCTCGACTGAATTGCTTACTGCGAACGATCGCTTTCGCCTTTTAATGGGTCAATTCACAATATCGTTGGTGAGTTAAATAGAAAAATTTGATTAATTATTAGTGATCTGTTCCCCATTAAACTTCAATCAAAAATTTAGCGTCTAAGCGAAAGAAAAACAAAACAAAAATCTTTACTGGGAGTCGAACCATGATCCTGCGATTCATAAGCCAACGCGATACCCACTAGGCCACCGACGCATCAAGGGTCGAGGCTAGGAAAAGCCTTTTAAAGCATCCTTTCCCTTTCAAGGCATTTTTCGAGTATTCTTGTTGAATGTTTTTTTGCCGGATCAAACTTTCCACAGAAATCTTCAAGCTTTTCCGCCGGAATTTGTCGGCTCCGCGCGAGTACATTGTACGGGAAAAGTACGCTTACTCTGTCAACGAATTTCCGGGAAAGAAGCATACGGCTCTCATATTGTTCCCAAAACCAAATTCTCCAGCCCAACTCAAAATACTTAAGATGGGGAATAGACAGACACTAGACAGCACCAGGACTTTTTGCCCAGCTCATTCTAACTATAATTTTGATTCTATTTTGAGTTTGATTTGAAGTTATCCGATCAAGAAGTATCAAAAAGAACTTTGAGATCAGACCAGGGTGCTACACTGACTATTTTTTTGACTACACTGACTACACTGACACTGATCGCAAAGAAAACTATTTTTTTTATGCTTATTGCTTTTCAGACCTATTTCGCGTTTCTTCTGATGAACCCGGATTTTATGTGCTCGGTGCAAACGCCGATTATTGGTGCGTAGAAGAGATTTGATTTGAAACGCTACAGTAGCCAAGATATCTATGCCTTTTCCAGGTCTTTCCATTGATCTTTATGGAATGCTGATCCCGATTCTCTGCATCAATTTCACAGCTAAATCCACCGGACCGTCCGACTCGTGGATCGTGATATTTTAAGAAGATTTCATCATAGCTTTGTGATACAGGTTGTGGAATTAAAGATAAACGTTTGAAAAGAAAAGCTACAGCGCTTGTTTACTGTTTACTGTTTACTACACTTTTTACTATTACTACTTATTTCTACAGAAAAACTGAGCGCTTATTTTCGAATTGTATATCGTATTTTCACTAATACTTGTGCATCCCTTTGCCTAAATTGCTTGAAATCTCGAAAAGCGCTTATCAGAACCTATCGATATGGAGTCGGAAAATGTAGCTGACGATGAGATCTTGTGGGAGATTTGAGTGTTGAGTTTCTGGGAAAAATTGGAAACCGTAAAATAGTCATCAACTCGGCTCGCCGGTATTAGCGAAAATACGGTATATTTGATGAAAACGAGGGCCAGGGGTACAGTATTTTCAAAAGTTGAGATGCCGGCTAGGCCGGGGGAGGAGGAGAGGGCACTACCATTAGAGGAAATACAGAATACCCCATTTTCTCTAATAGTAGTGCACAGTGAGCGTCCCCTAAATTCCTCGAAATCTCGAGAACCGCTTATCAGAACCTATGGAATATGGAAAAATATTTCCCTTCGGCGAAGATTGCAAAGAATCGGTTGATTGGTAGAGAGAACTGGCAAAAGATTGGGATATATGTGCACAATTGGTAAATGATTGCGAGGTGGTGGTTCAGAGTGTAGTTACACCAATAGATGCTGCAAAAAGTTGGACAGTGTTGAAAAGAAGAAAATCAATCAGTTAAGTCATGCCTGACTTTTGATTGTTTCGAATAGTTTTTACCGTATTTTCTCTAATAGTAGTGCACCGTAGGTTTCGCTTAAATTCCTCGAAATCTCGAGAACCGCTTATCAGAACCTATCGATGTGGGATCGGAAAATGTAGCTGGCGATGAGATCTAGTGGGGGATTTGAGTGTTGAGCTTCTGTGAAAACGTTGGAAACCGTAAAATAGTTATCAACTCGGCGGAGTGCACTACTATTAGAGAAAATACGGTATTATTTGCCTTATTATTGGCTTGGCTTGGCTAAAGTCCCTGCTAGAACCTGGCTCACAGGTCTGATTGAAATATCTTTGGCTAGACACCGTATTTCCTCTAATAGTAGTGCACCGTAAGCTTCGCTTAAATTCCTCGAAATCTCGAAAAGCGCTTATCAGAACCTATCGATGTGGGGTCGGAAAATGTAGCTCACGATGAGATCTTGTGGGAAATTAGAATGTTGTGTTTCTGGGAAAAATTGGAAACCGTAAAAAAGTCACCAACTCGGCGGAGTGCACTACTATTGGGGAAAATATGGTATTTTTTTCTCTCTTTTTGGTCGTTTATATTTTTGCCAGAAGACAATTGAGATAAAGAACAGATGAACAGATGGACAGACAAGATAACTCGACGAGGATAAGATAAAAACACCCGCCGACCCCGTAGGCAACACTTCCAACTCCCACAAGCAATCATGTTTTCTTATCTGGGTCACGGCTATTATCAATTTACCAAGCATCACCGGGTTTTTCTTCGTCTGAGATACGTAGCTGGACAAACTACAGGGTTGAGCAAAATTATCCGGACAACTTTTTGGAAAAGTAGTTGTCACAAGCTTAGTTTATTTCAAAATGTTAATTGTTATATAGAGAATTGTAGCGCTTAATCTTGGCTACATTTATCTACCAAAAACTTGGCAATTGGGTGTATCCAACTCATTTAACAAGTCTTTTAATGAGCACTAGTCAATCCCTATCCGCCATTTTTGACGATCGACTAGTGCTCATTAAAAGACTGGTTAAATTAGCTGTATCCATCCAATTGGAAAGTTTTTAGTTGATAAATGTAGCCAAGATTAAGGGCTACAATTCTCTATATAACAATTAACATTTTGAAATAAACTAAGCTTGCGACAACTACTTTTCCAAAAAGTTGTCCGGATTTATTGGCCCAAACCTGTACAAATGCCGGGCTATATGTGGTTTAAGATTACACAAATTGAAACTTCACTTCAAGTGACTTCAATATATGGCTTAAAGACACAAAATTCTGCTTGAGATGTCGTTCTATTAGGTATTTTATTCAAATCAATTACAAATTCCACAGAATCTTCCCACAATTAGCCCTTTGTTTATAGACTTTTTCAAATTTAAACCGCGGTCAGGGCCCAGAAGTGGCTCATTCCTTTTGCAAATTCCCTTTGCTTCCAATGCCTCTTTATCAAATTCATTTCCCGTTAGAGCCGCTAGATTATGGAACTTGCTCCCAAACGACATACGAGAAATTCAGTCGCTTTTCATATTCAAGAAACGTATCGATGCTTTAGATCTAGTGGCTCTTTGCCGTAAGTAATTGGCTTATTGATTTCAGTATGTATTGTATGATTAAGTATCACTGTGCATTTCTCTATGATTTCTTTCACTTTATCGTTTGAATAAAGTATTATTATTCAATGTAAACTTACCACCTGACACCTACTTTAGCGTAGTACAATGAATTTTAAAACTAATTAATTTGTTTATCTTTTTCAAAAGCACTGAAAAAGTAAACTAGCCGCAAATTGGACAAATCAAATCCTCCTTTTCTCTTTTTTTCTAGTGGAACAGATGATTCTTTGTAGGGAAATCTCAAAGGAATTAGGAAAGAATAAAATTTACAAAAGATTTTCAATTCTTTAGAATTTTCTAATTTACATTTATATCTTTACTAATAGTCACTAATTTGTTTGTTTCAGAAATTGCGAAAGTTTGAAACAAAGAAGAAACGAATGTGAACTTTGGTGTGTTAGTTTGTGATTTAGGTTGAAAGCTTTGAGTGCATTGAATGAATGGAACATTCTGCTCTTCTTTGAGTTTGCACTGACACTGACATTGAAACTAGACTTGTGTTTCGGTTGAACCGGAAACGTTCTTTTTCGGTTCGGTTTTGGTTTCGGTTTCGGTTAACCGAACCGAGCCGAAAGACTCATCTTTTCGGTTGAACCGAACCGAACCGAGCCGAAAGACTCATCTTTTCGGTTGAACCGAACCGAACCGAGCCGAAAGACTCATCTTTTCGGTTCAACCGAAACTGAACCGAACCGAGCCGAAAAACTCATCTTTTCGGTTGAACCGAACCGAACCGAACCGAAAGATTTCGGTTGACTTCGGTTGAACCGAAACCGAAACTGAACCGAAAAGAGCCAACCGAAACACAAGTCTAATTGAAATCTTTATAATATCGCTTATAGAATGTAACCATAATAACATTGCACACGAGATTTTTCAAGCCCATTTTCAGATCAAGTTTGATCACTTGAAAACTGTCGACTTAGGCACTGCAATCAGTTATTAATGTTACAGTAATTCAAGAGATTTGTAGATAGAATAAGATCTTGAAGATTAAACCATGAGATATCTAGGCTGGCTGGTAGCTGGAGCGAGCTTTAGAGCGTCTATTCGAGCTCGAATTTGGACTGGCTGACTCTGGTCAAAAAAGGGATCAACGTATGAACAAAAATAGCTGTTAGAGTTTCAAAATAAGCTCACAGAGTTAGAGTTCTTTTAGCTATATACTTGCCAATAAGTCACCCTAATAAACTTGGACTTTTCTAAAGAATTTATCTAGCCAAACGCGTCATTTCCCTGTCTATAAACTTTCAATAAAGCTAAATTTCTTACAATCTCTTAAATTAAGCCGTCTGTTTGATTAGAATTTCTATTTAAAACTTTAAACTCTCAAGGGAGCTTCTCAGCTGATTGCCGAATCGCAAACAACAGCAATCAACAGCAATATTCCATCACGTAGAACCAAAACTCGCACCAGCTAGAGATCCCCTTTGGGAATTTCCCCAAACAAGTTCGACAATTCTTCTAAAGTACGCGAGTTGGTTGTCTTTGTGTTTTTAGGCAATTTGAACTGCTTTAAGTGTTGTTTGATCAAAGAAAGAAATTTTGCTGAAATGAACTGTGTTTTCGGAATCGAATTTGCAAATTAACGGTCTTTTGTAATCTTTGCTTTCGATCGAGAAATGACTTCAAAGCTCATACAAAGAAATTTCCATTTAAAGTACGCTTCTTCTACGCTTCTAAAACGTGTCAATTCTTGTAAAATAACGTAAGCTTCTTTCATTTTTATCCAATCTATCAATTTCTTTCGGTATTTTTCGTAAACCTTAACCGTAACCGTACAAAACCGTAAAACGTAAACCCTCAGAGAATCAGGCCAAAAATTGATAGATTGAAGTTTCCATGCTTTCGTAAAGGTCTTATTTGAGTGAACATAAACTCTAGCCTAAACTGCCTTGAAACTTGTCTGACTGAGCTTGTCTTGCAGTGCTTGTCTTGCAGTGCTTGTCTTGCAGTGCTTGTCTTGCAGTGCTTGTCTTGCAGTGCTTGTCTTGCAGTGCTTGTCTTGCAGGGCTTGTCTTGCAGGGCTTGTCTTGCAGTGCTTGTCTTGCGGTGCTTGTCTTGCAGCTAACTAATCAGTAACTATTGCTAAGATGATCCAGATTCCATAACTTCATAGGATCTCGCAATTCAAGATAAACCCTTTTTTATAAGCTTGTAGGAAGTTGTAAAAGTCCATGAAGTGAGTCATGGCCACAGCAAGTGTAAGGATATGGTGATCCCAATAGTTGGACACAGTTGGGACTGGGAATACAATGGTCGGCGCCGGGATTCGATGTAATGTGATAAAATCCGCCGCCGAGCAGTCGGCGCCTCTTGTTGCCAGGCGAACGCTCTACCAATAAGCTACACCGAGATGCGTTGATTGCTGCTAGAATAGAGCGTTATGCCTTACTCAATCTCGAAATTTCAAAATTTCGAAATTCAAAGCAATATCAATCGTCTTTTCATGCAATGAGCCTTGACCAAAGTTTTAGTTTTGACTCTAGTGAGAGGATTTTAAAGCAAAGATCATAGAGATCATAGAATTGAAATCATAGAGACATATCCATTAGCCACAGTAACGATTCACAATCAATAACATTTCTATCACAAGCTCTATTTGGCGGCTTAGCTGGCGGCTAAATTTT